TCTCCATGGTCTACTTTATAGTTTTGTTGTTTTTGTTTGTCTTAGTTTGGTTTGTTTTTTACTTTTAGTTCAGTGGGTTCCCACCTCTAGCAGGGCTGCTTCTTTAAGGTAGACAGCAAGAGCAAATGACACCTGTCAAGAGTCTGTCCCTGCCCTTTTCAGCAGATGAAGATGCAGGCAAGTAACCTGGGGTCAAGTGAGCTCCAGGCACAGGGAGAAGGAGCTGGTGTTCTCGGTGGGGAAAGGACCTCAAGGTGCCCTCCAGTCAGGGGAGGGCCAGGAGGCACCTTTTACTCATGGCTTCTTCTCTGCTCGCACACTGAGGGCTGCCCTAGGTAGGCAGGGTGGAGGTGGGCTGCAGGCTTTCCCCATAGCCCAGGGCCTGGGACCATTCCTGCCATGTGCAGCCAACCATGGAACAGTTAGTTTGGTTTAGCCAGAAAGGGAAAATGGAACCTCCAAACACCACCATCCCCATCCGTAGCTGGCGACCAAGTGTTAGACTGAGCAGTGTTGCCCTACTCCCTGCCTAGCCTCAGTTTCCACGTGATGGTAAGCGTTGCTTGCTGCAAGGACTGTGAGGAGGGTCAGAGGAGACCACCCGGGTGAAGCCTGCAGCACATGCTACACACTCAGCACCCAACCCACAAATGTTAGCTGTTTTCTTTTTTTTATTTTATTATTATTATTTTTTATTTATTAAGAATATTCATGAGATACAAAGCTAATTGTCACCCCTCGTGCCCATGATGTGAGGGCCAGATTGATACTGGGGCATACTCATTAACAGAAATTACTTTTGTACTCTGTGTTTTTTAAAGTTTTTATTCCTGTACTCACAATATACTTTTAGAATGGGTAGGCCAACGGTCTCGTAAATGCAACATTAAACCGAGCGTTTACATCCTGTTTCGAATTTGGGAAGACAGTTGTATGTTAATGAGGAATGACTATAATTGCTGTTTTCTCTTGCTTAGTAACAAAAATGGTGTCATGAATAGCTGGAAATTAGGAAATTAAGATACTTTCTACATTTTGTGTTTGTTACCTCATTTTCACAAAAAGAAATTACCAGCCCCTGAGTATTTATTATGTGTTGTGTAGACTTATTAAAAAAAAAACTATAGTACAAGTCCTCATTATACTTTTTAATATTGCCATTATTTACAGTCCATTATTATCTTGTTTGTTATTATTGTGATATTATTTTTAAGAGGCAAGGTATACATTTTCATGCATACGTCAAGAAATTCAATCCTATGCAGTGAAAATGAGCATGTGCTATCAACATGTTGCATAATCAAATTTAATTCATTTCAGTTAAATTTTTATCTTTTATACTGTTCTTTCATGTAGCTGCATTCATAATGTAGCTTCTAGGCTAAACATTAGGCAGAAATAGGATACGTGAGTGGAGCAATAATGTGTTCACTTTTTAATAAGGAAGATTAGAATTGTATTGAATTACATGTTAATGGAAAAATAGAGCAAAAGATAATAGGATGACAACTTTATGCTGCTGTAAAGTCTGCATTATAGAACATAGTTTTGCTATTTATCAGTTGAATATTGAATTTCCTTTGAGAACTTGCTTTTAATTATATTAAAATATAATATAATATAAATATTCCCTCCTAACATATTAAAGTGCTTTGGTTATAATTTGACTCTCGAGAAAGGAAGGCACCGAGTAGCTGTTACAGTGTAGCCACTCCCATGAGACGGCATAAGCCCCTTAAAATAAAGTAAAGCTCCCTTTGGACTTAAAGGATCTATTTATCCTTGAATTGGTGACTATTTATTGTGAAAAGGTGCATGAGGGATCCCTTTGCTGCCCTCCGTGTGAGAAACAGCCTGACACCTTGCTCTGAATCCAATGGGATTCCTCAGGAAATATTTACATTCTCTTCTACTATTAATATCTCCTGCTTGATATGATAAGTCTGGTCCCTAACTTCTTAGGGATTCATGAAATTATGTCCTTTCCTTGTCATACTCGTCTACATCTGAGCTGGCCTGGACAGTTGGCAGTCCTGGAGCCTGAAATAGGGGACGCTGTAAACCCATACCTGGGATGGGTCATTCGGTAAACTTTCTTGGTGGGTGATGATGCTTTCCTTACATCGATCACCTGGGGAGTTGGGGTTAGACATGGTGGGGAGAATCTGGATGCCTCTTAGCTTTCTTTGCCTGGGTGTCGGTCCATGTGTTGCTTAGGGCTCGGGGCGGGTGGCTCTATGAGTTCTAGGTGTGACTGACTACCCAGGATTGCTGGTGAGATATCTCAGGTTAGGGGACAGCAGTGGTGAGAGAAGAGTGAGTAGGAGAGATGGCACTGGTGACGGAGGGGCAGGCGGGGCAGGAACTAGGTGATCTGAGCCGAGGGGTGGGTTTGGCCCAGGGAAGGGAGCGCTGGACAGACACGGGGGCTCAGATGCAGTCCTTCCTGATGGATGACTGTGCTCCGCACCTTGAGGAAGGCATTTCTTGTTCCTGTCTGGGTTCTCAGCCTCGAGGGCAGCATGCAGCAAAGCTGAATTGCATTAGAGCTGGGTCTTAGAAAATAAATATGGGAGGGAGCATTGCAGGCCTGGGCAACAGAGTTTGGAGTGAACTCGCGGAGTGATTTTTAGAAATGGCAGACAGCTGGACATGATGAAAGCACAGAGCTTTACAAGATGTGTGAGCAGCAAGGCAGAGAGGGTCTCGGCCAGCTCATCTGGTCATTGCGGAGCTGTGGGCATCGAGTCTGGGCCTGGCACTGTTTCCGGGTTGGCATTTAGAGATCACAAAGCAAAGCCTGTGCCTCTATGGAACTTGCCAGTCTAGAGGTGGCCCTGAGTCACAGGCGGGGGAACCAGCCTTGCTGGGTAAGCAGGCGAACCATCTGAGGGGGGATTGAACTGGTTAGAGCGCATTTGAGGAACAGCAGCCCTGCAGCCGTGTTTGGGTGAGTGGAGGGGAAGAAGTGGACAGCAGAAGACTGTTCAGGAGACAATTGCAAGGGCTCTGGTGACAAGGAAAAGAGTCTGAGCCAGGGAGAGGCCCTGGAGTGAAGGAGGTGTGCTCAGGGAGCGGAGGGCGAGCTGCCCGACATCAGGGAGGCGAGACCAGAGTGTGACAATGAGGGGCTGGAGTAAGAGGAGACCAGGCAAGGAGGAGAGGAAAGGAGAAAGCCACAGACCTGCCTTCTCCCAAGGGAGACCCAGGCGCCCGCAGCCTTCCCAGGGGGTGATGGGGGAGCAAGGTGCCTGCTGCTGCGTTTCTCTGTTGTCATTAACAGGCCACACTGTGTCGTAGCCACAGCCTCGGTCCTCCCTGAAAGTTAGAGAACACTTGTCAGCAGTCCAGCAGCGGGTACAGTGAGGCACACAGGCGGGAGGAGGCGGCAGGGAGGTGGGGATACGGCCTTCGCCATTGGGGGAAGGTGGTGTGGAGCAGTGCAGAGAGGGACGGGACCCTAGTCAGGAGACCTGCCTTGCCTCCACTTCCCCCAAGGACAGATCTCCTTTCCTGTGCGGGCTCCTGCAGCGTGCTCTGCCTGGAGCGCATCTTTCCGGCTGTGCTCTGGGGGATGAGCTCCACGTCTGCACCTGTCCGGCTGCCAGCCACAGCCAGGTCTAATCTGGGACTGAAACAGAAACTACTGGATGACAGGAGCAGAGGGAAAGCCAAGGGATCTCTGTAGAAAATCCTGGAATCCAGTCACTTTAATAAACCCTGAACTTTACACATACCCAAATAAGTTAAAATAATAGCAATTATGATAACAACCATATAGCTAACAAGGATTGAGTGTCTTTTTGTCTTGACTCTCCACCTCTTCATCCAACAGTGTGCTGTGTCCTGTCACACAATTGAGGAGACTGAGGCATAGAGTTGGGTGACTCGCCAGAGTCACATACCTAGTAATGGCAGAACGAGCACCTGACCCCAGCAGTGCATCTCTAGAGGCCACCGTGCCAACCACTGCACCCACTGCCCCCAACAAGAAGCCCAGCAGGGGCTCCGTAGCCAGAAGCGACAAGCCCAGCATCCTCCGAGAGGTCAACTAGTTATTTGATTGTCAATGTATAGTGTCTCACACAATCAAACCTTTTTTTCTTTACAGAATGGAATCTTATAGTTCAAAAACAAACATCTGGAATGGAAAGGCAGGACACCCCGATTGAGACCCCATTTAGGTTAGCACCAGATTCGACCTTGCTCCCAACTGGTAGCCAGAGAGATGCAGGAAATACAGACTCAGGAAGCTCATTCCCCCAGGAGAACAGGTGGAAAGAAACACCTGAGGCACAGCGTCCAGGAGACAGCCTAATGGGTGGAGCCTGGAGAGGGTCTGAGGGTCCCAGCCCACATCACCCCACGGGAAGTGGGATCCATCCTTGGGGAAGGTGGAGGCAAGGTGGGTCCCCTAACCAGTGTCCCATCTCTCTCTCTCCACTATCCTATACCCCACAGACAGATGGCATTGAGAAAGCCACCTCCGTTCCTTACCTGCACAGGAAGATATGGCATTAAACAAACGATTTCTTGATTAATACATTAGTGTAACACTATAGCTTAACAGGCAATATTACTAATCAAATACCAGATGTTATTTTTTCAAACTTCTTAAGCTGAATCACAACATGCAAACCTAATTGAAATATAACTATGTTTTTTCCCCAATTGCTTATTTTTTTTAATACTTCAAAATCTGGCTGTCAAGAGACCTCATTAATCTACTGGACATTAAATATTTATTGTTGTAAAATATCATTTGGGAATATCAATGTTTTCTCTTTATCTTCTCAAACTCTGGAACAATGTAGTATAAAAAAAAAGATAGTTCACTTGAACATGAATGTCCACACCAAAAATGCATACCTACTGTGGGAAAAAATAATAGTTCACATATGAGGTACCAAATATTTAACTTTCCTAATACATGAGAATTTTCATCAACATTTCCACCAAATGTTAAATGACATTTCTGTGTTTTGTCAACAGACCAGCAGTACTCATGGTCACCAACTCAGCACTTCAATGAAGAAAGATACTCCCCTGCTCCTAGGAATATGAAAGGATTATCTGGAAGTCGAACTCAACCACAGTTGTGTTCTGGTCATACTTGTGGCTTAACGGTGCCTGACGACTGTGAGCATACCCATGACCACATCCACCATGGGCAGGAGGCCAGGCAGTCGTACCTGCTCAGCCCGACGGAGAGCTGCCCCATGGACCACCACCGCTGCTCCCCCCGGAGCTCCATCCACTCGGAGTGCGTGATGATGCCCATGATGCTGGGCGACCACATGTCCAGCAGCACCTTCCCCAGGATGCACTACAGCTCGCACTACGACACGAGAGACGACTGCGCCATGTCTCATGCCAGCACCAAAATTAACCGCATCCCAGCCAATCTCTTGGACCAGTTTGAGAAACAGCTCCCTCTCCACAGGGACGGGTTCCACACGTTGCAGTACCAGAGGACTTCAACCGCCGCAGAGCAGCGCAGCGAGAGCCCGGGGAGGATACGACACCTCGTCCACTCTGTCCAAAAACTCTTCACCAAGTCGCATTCCTTGGAAGGCTCTTCCAAGAGCAATATCAACGGGACCAAGGGTGACAGCAGGGTGGACGACCACCACCATGGCCACCACTCCAAACACAGTAAAAGGAGTAAAAGCAAGGAGCGGAAGCCCGAGGGCAAGCACAGATCCGGCATGAGCAGCTGGTGGAGCTCCGACGACAACCTGGACAGTGACAGCACCTACCGAACGCCCAGCGTGGTCAACAGGCACCACATGGACCACATCGCCCACTGCTACCCCGAGACGCTGCAGAGTCCCTTTGGGGACCTCTCACTGAAGACTTCCAAGAGTAATAACGACGTCAAGTGCTCCGCCTGCGAGGGCCTGGCCATGACCCCGGACACCAAGTACATGAAGCGGAGCTCCTGGTCCACACTCACGGTGAGCCAGGCCAAGGAGGCCTACCGCAAGAGCTCCCTGAACTTAGACAAGCCCCTGGCCCACCAGGAGATCAAGCCTGCCCTGAGGCCGTGCCACTACCTCCAGGTAAGGAGTCTCACGGGCATGACTGCAGTCTTATCACAGTGGGTTTTTTAAATTACAGGGTTTTTTTTTTTTAATTGACAAAGAAGAATTGTGGAAATGTATTGTGAGGAGTCTCACGGGCATGACTGCAGTCTTATCACAGTGGGTTTTTTAAATTACAGGGTTTTTGTTTTTTAATTGACAAAGAATTGTGGAAATGTATTGTATGCACCGTGATGTTTTGAAATACATATAAGTTTTGGAATGGCTAAATCAAGCTAATTAACATATGCATTACCTCACATACTTATTTTTTCATTTAGAAAACGCTTAAAATCTACTGTTTTATGATTTTCCAG